TAGTAAGCAGACGATGTTATTAATAACTCCAAACGACTTGTCATTAGTGTGAAAATCAACAATAATGGGTCCTCCAATCATTTGTCAGCTCTTGTTTTGCTGAGTTGCGCTAACTCACTCATTACCTTCCTAATTGTGTGGAAAAATGCTAATTGACATAAATAATTACTGTCGTTTCAAATATTTGGTAGGAATTTTCAAACTGCCCCCTATACCCAACTCTACCCAACCCTTCTGTCTATTGAATAATTGAGAGATTATTGATTTCTCATTTCACAATTAAAGCTATCAATATAGAATATCCTTATGGTTATTTTATATTATTATTCGGACAGAATTGAGGATGTGATCTCTGACTTCTCAAGAAAATCTAACAGTTTGCCCAGAGTTATAAATAAGCTAACCTGTATATACCAGAGAGGTTTATATAGAAAGAAACTTTATAACAATACTACAGAGAATTATTACCTAGGCAACGGGTCGGCAAACCTTTGAGTCGGAAGAGTCAAAAATAACAATTTACAAAATTTCAAAGTTTTTAAAGAGCCGCGAAATATTTTCTTTCCAACAATAAATAGTACTCACTTAAATAATTTTTACGTATGGAACTATATAAAGAGCCCCAGCTTGACATCCAAAGAGCCGCATGTGGCTCGTGACCGCAATTTGCCGATCCCTGACCTAAACTCGTCAAGGGGTCAAAGAATGACAACAATGGGGGAAGTTATCAATGAGTAAATAAGTAGGTAAACATAATTGGTGTAGAGAGGCATAAAAACCACTGCGTACAATTTCATACTAAAACTCAGGATAGAATAGCTATTTGAGAAACTTATAAAAGCCTGGTCTGATATAATATGTGAATATAATATAGAATCAGTCAATAGGAAGTTGAGTCGCTCGAAATATTCCGTTTAGGAGCTATTTAAAGTGAAATATGTTTAATGCCTCATCTATGATTCAATATGTTAAATTTTATCTTTCTTTCTTGGTGTTTATATTTTTCAACGAGAATTTCTCGATGCCTTAAATCGTTAATTTAGATGTATATTTCTACAGTCACCTAGAAGCCCGTGTCTATAGATCCTTCAAACACCCTTTCTCCGTATATCCTTATAAATGCAGATTATATAAGAAAATCAGTCTAATAAACGATAGTAGAGAGGTCTAGCTAGCGAAACTGCTGGGAAACTGCTTTTTTGAAATGCCAGGAATATTTGCCACTATTCTGAAAATGTGAATTACATAAACTTCTCAAGGCCTTCTCAGGCCAATGAAACTATTTAACAACTATAAATCCTATTAATGCAGATTTCGAGCCCTAAAAGTTTTGTTCATCTATTGAGCCACTAAGTCAACAGCCCAATCATGCCCTGCGTCGCAACTTTCAGAATAGCTTGAGTTGTTAGCAAAGTGACAAACTCACCAAAGCGCCAAATACTTGATTGGAGAGAGTTAATCAGAATCATATTGCTTATGTTAAGAATAAAACCTAAGATATACATATCCGAGAACACGGCTTTTATTTTTAACAAAGAGAACTCATTTAGACGCTATGTAACGCAATATCTTATCATGCAATATTCTTGTAAAGTTTGGATATTTGAAAATGAAATATCAAAGGGCTGATTGGACAAAGAATGTTAATCATCAAGAGATATCAACAAAGAGAAATAAACTGTATGTGGTTATATAATCTGGAATATTGCAACGTTAAAGATGGCAATAAGGATTAAACAACACCTTTCAATAAAATATACTTTTTTCTATCTTATTTATTCGGTGGACGTTAGGATTAAATATATTTGAAAATTCCATTCTAAAGAAAAAAACTTTCTAACACCATCAGAAAGTTCTTAATGAGGTACATATATAAAGCTTTTAACAATATCGAAACACCATAAGCTTATCTCCCAGCAAGATTTAACGATAGCCTTGTTGTCTTTAACGACTTAAGCCATGTGATTGGCTCGGTGGTAACGCTCCGACATGCCAGTCAGCACATATTAGTCCAGAAGATTCCAGAGTTTAAGACCATCCTGGAGTTTAAACCTCTGCAGTCGTAAATCTGAAGGACTATCGATCCATTCCTCACACTGGAAATCTTCATATTCAGTTCACTGCGCTTCATGTTTCACTGACGCTATTTTCACACACTACTCCCTACAATCTTATATATGTGGGAAAATAGTAAAAAAGGGAATTCGTACTTGGATTAGGTGGTTAAATTAAGAAAAAAGGCATATCCTGATCGTGCAACTAAATGTTGCTGATGGCTTGCCCCATCTATCGGAAAAAGTGCATAAAATTAAATGCAGACTGCACTTTGCATGTATTGACAAAATCTCAATAAAATTATTTTATTGTCAATTGTCTATCGGAATAAATATCCAATAATCGTTGATTTTTATTATTCCAGAATTGGCCCCGTTTCTAGCATAATCTTGAAAAGCTAACCACGTACACGTTTCGTACTCTTGGCCCTCGTCAGCCTGTTGCAAGCTGTACTCAACGACCAAAAAAAGCTGGACTTTGGGGGATCTTGAAAAACCATGAAACAAGTATTTATGCCATATTTTATCCACATGCTCCAAGTACAAATTCAATTTTGTACTATCTTTTACATTGATTGGCATTCTCACGTCCTTCCAGCCTAAATACCTGTTTTATGGTTTTTCAAGATCAAGAAATGCCTTTTTTCTTAACAATTCTTATCCATGTTTTGAAAAATTGTATTGGCACATTACCGTTCTCTTGATAAGAACTGGCCTCACACCTACTGACCCAACCCCCCTACTGTACCAACGAGATAGTTCAAAATTACTCTTTTTGCCAAGAGTGACTTGATTTATATTTGGAAATTGGAATAAAACGCCCTTCGAAAGATTTAATATACTGATTGACTTTGTGAGAAATACGGACATTCAATTTGTCAACAAATATTTGTAATAATTTTCACCTCATTGCTACTCAATCATTTATGATATTGTTCCACAATATATTTTGTCAGTTACAAGTTGTCACTCAAATCTTTACATAGACAAATGTTTTTCAAAAGAGAATAATACTACTAAATATCAAACACTAATAAATATGCATATACAAGGGACAAATCAAGATTCTGAAAATCAAGATTTGAAAGAAAATATTAAAAAAGATAGAGTAATTTAGAATATATATATATAAATTCTAAACAACAAATGAAACTGGCACAGTGGTAATAGCGCATGCGTAAATCTCATTGTAGGAAGATAAAGTTCCTTTGTTTATCGCTCTCGTCGGATTTTAACAAAGAGCTAGCATAATATTTGTAACAATCAAATAATATTTTACCAAGAGAGGCAGATAGGCATTAAAATTGTTAAAGGAAGCGTATGGAGATGAAACAATTAAAAAAAAACTCAAGTATATTTCTGGTAGAGTAGATTTAACGATGTATCAGCAGTATCGAGGATGATCCAAGGTCCCCTCATCTTCGACAACGGAGCACAACATCCAGCAGGTTGGTGATTTAATATATGCTGATAGAGAAATAACTATTGAAAGGATGGCGGAAATAGTTAAATTTAATATGGTAGCCGTCAAAGCATTGTTTATTAACATTTAGAAACGTTGTGGTTACGTTGTCTCACATCTAACCGTATATACACATAAAAAAAACAGAAAATATTATAAATTTCTAGAGATTTAATTTATAGTGAATTTAATAACCGATATTTTAAAAATATTAATAATAACTGGAGATGAAACTTGGTGCTATCTTTATGATCCACAAAAGAAACAATCACTTGAATGGCACATTCCGAGTTCTCCTCGGAAGAAATATTTCGTCTTGACCAATCAAATGGAAAAGTGATGCTTTTTTTAACTCTATCACGGAGTTGTACCTTATAAGTTTATATTTCAGAGGGAATTTATATCAATAAAATAAATACGAAGAAATACTTGTGTGCCTTAGAGTTTCAATATGAGGGATAAGAAACCGACAAGTCACAATAATGGAAGTTTTTTTCATGATAACGACCCTACCTTTAAAGCCACCTTGGTTATGGATTATTTAGCTAAACACACTGTTTTATCACATCCTCCTTATTCCCCAGACCTCTCTCCCTGTGATAAATTTTATTTTCCTAATCTAAAACTCACGTTTAAAGGAAGACGTTTTGTTCATCTAAAGATGTTATTGAAAATGCGACGACTAAAATAAACAAGTTCAGGGAAATATATACTATGACACAGTCTTTAAACAACTTTTTGACCGCTGGAAAAAAAAACAAATGTAGATAGTGGAGGGTTAGTTCTATTTTAAAAGATTTGAAAAATTAATGATATAAGCTTTATCTATATATATAAAATTGAATGTCTGTGTGTGTGTCCTCTATGGATTCAAAAACCATACATCCAATCGCCGTGAAATTTTTGGATATTATTAGGTGTATCTCCGGAAAGGTTTACGAAAGATAATTTCTTGAATATCTTTAATATCCTTAGAGTTATTTGCAGATATGTAGCTCTAACTCGCAAGCAGCGCCATCTTGCAACGGAGATCTGCCCCTCCCCCCCCCCCCCCCCCCCCCCCCCCCCCCTTCCGGCCGCCGGCCAGTTGGTTGGACATTCCAAGTTCCCTCCGACCAATCAGAGGGATCAAGAGCCCCCTCCCCCCCCGTCCGGCCGCCGGCCAATCAGAGTGATCAAGAGGTCCTGGCGCGCGGGGGGCGGGTGACCTCCGGGAACTACGTCCATCTTCCATAAACGACCATGATTTTATTCAACTTATCGAGTATTTTTCAAGGGACCGGGAAAATATGTTCACTAGATAAAACGATGATTTTTGTAATGTAGAAAATTAGGAAAGACAAAATTCAGGATGACACGGCACACAGGGACCGGGAAAAAATAATCACTTTATCGAGAGATTCACGACCATGACTTTATTCAACTTATCGAGTATTTTTCAAGGGGCCGGGAAAATATGTTCACTAGATAAAACGATGATTTTGTAATGTAGGGCGGGAATCGAACCCACAGCGTTCCGCCTACCGGGCAGATGCCATGTCCACTAGGCCCCTGGACACTTTTATTTTTCCGTTCGCCATTACTCTTCATATTTTCACCCTTTCATACTTCATCCAAAAAAGTTAGAAATAGTAAATATTTCTCTTTGAAATAAATATTGATTTTTCACAGAAAAGAAACTTATGCGGTGAAACTTTAAGTGTTGTTTTATAATCATATACGCCGCAGTCCTTTATAATATATTCTTTTAACTTAATTCTATTGACGTTGTTGTAATACCTTGAAAAAGGTTGGCGTTCAGCCAACTGAAATATTGTTGAAATAAATGATATTTTGATCCTATATATGCCTTTTTATTTAAAATTTTATATAAATATAAAATGTTCAAATTGGTCTTTTACAATTTATTTTAAATGATAAATTTTCTATTTTTTCTTTATTTATATATTGTCATTTTAAAAATCATTTTTTCAGTAATTAATTAAAAAATAATAATTACACACATTCAATTTTCATTATTATTAAATGTCTATTTAAATATTCAACTACATTTGTAAATAATTATAATTGTGAATTGAAAGAAAATTTTAGAAACATTCTTAACTAAAAAATAAAAATTAGAGATTTATTCAATTATGCACTTTTTATACATTTGTATATAATGGTAAAGATTTTAGAATATTTAAAACATTAATTCAATCCTATTTCTAATTGAATTAATGTAAAATCAAAAATTTAATTATGCTAAGAAAAATAGTTTTATCAAAATGTACAAATTAGAAATGTCAAAAAAGCTTTTAATAGTTTAAATGTACTATATTTGAAAAAAATATCTCTACAGATTAAATTTTATAAATATTGTATTATTCTAAAATACATGGCCTTTTAATCATCAAAAGATAGAGGGTTAAAACGTATTTATTTACTCTGCTTATGGAATTTAAATAAAAATTATCTTATTAAAATTAAACAGGTAATTTATTGAGAGATAAAAAGATAGAAATAGCAAAGAAAGCCTACCTGAGTTTATTTGAAAAAAAAATTGAAATATTTCGTGGAATCGCTCCCTCTTCATTTTCTTGGTTAATGCAAAATTTAAATATAATTGTATTCAAATGTAATTCTACTGTCCGAAAATCTTATGTCCATAGTTTGCTCAAATACCATTTCTAAGATTCCACCCTTCAGTGTAGCATATGTATGCAGAATGATCCAATACAGTATTAGAGCTCTAAAGAAGCGTTCTGGTGGATTAAATAGGCGAAACCGCTGGGAAGGTTCACCACTGATGAGCCAAGCCCTCCCAATATATTTTCATCGCATTAAGGAGAGTAGAAGTTTGATTTATTTGTGAAAAGAAACATTCGCGTCTTAATGTCTTCATTTGTTTTATATAGATGGGCGTGTTATTGCTTTGTATTAATTAAATGCACAAAGTTTACAAACTAACATGTCTCATGTAAACTTGTTTAACAATGGACACACAGAACATGTTTAAGAATTATATTAATGAATAATGATCATAATTAATATATATATATTGCTAATTAGATTTCGATTAATGAAATACGATGAAAATCGAAATAAATTAAGTTTATATTTTACTCTTTATTTCATTTTTTCCGATAGTATAGATTTTCTATTGCGTTCTGTGTTTTATTTATTTAATTGTATCATCTCAGGGAAGGGTAGAGATAATTCCTGATTTACACCGTTGGAAGAAACGCACTTCAAACGATTTATAATTTCATCTAATACACACATATCTGCAATTTTAATCATTTCCAATAAGTTATTCACAACCTTAATACAACATTTAAACGTAAAATGAAAGGATTTAAGCACGAATGTTTCTTTTATATACAAAAACAAACTTCTACTGTCCTTACTGCGATGAAAAAAATATATTTTTTAGGGGTTGGTTCATCAGTGGTTAACCCTCCCAGCGGTTTCGTCAATTTAATCCACCAGACCGCTTCTCTTAGAGTTCTAATATTGTATTGGACGATTCTGTTTATATACACAGCATTAAAGGGTGGAATATCAGAATTGGCTTTCTAGAAAACTATGGACATAATCTTATAGGACAGTAGAATTACATATAAATATTTACATTGAGCAATGCTCTTCCGCAAACAAACGGTATTTGTTGATTAAGAATCAAGTATAGGGTAATATTTGGCTTATATAATATATATATGCTCTAAGTTTGTATTGTTGTTGTTGAAATAAAATATTGAAAATTTGGTATTATACGCTCTTACTTCAGTTTATACATTATCAGTCGATGTGTCACAAGAAGGACTAGTCGGGTTCACAACTAGATAGAAATGGTCACAAAATTCCCCCTATATAGATCACAATCATTTTGAAACTTCTTAATGCTGAAATCTTTGTGTGATTTCCTCCTGAAGCCAACACACGGCACCACCACAACTTCATTCACCGCCACTGCATAAGAATCAATAAATTTTTCAAATCGGCACACACACATCCATCATCAATAATTTTCAATAAAAAAATCAAATCAACAATAACGCTCTCAATTCATTATTTAAAAATATCTAAATCCAATCAGCCGATCAAATCAAAGTTACCATATACATTGATATATCATATACATATTTATAAAAGTCAGTGTATGTATATAGGTTTGTGGGTTATACACGTCCACAATACGTAACTAATCTGGCTTGAATTTTAACAGTATATAGAGTTGAATCTGAAAACCTTATTTGCAGGCTTCTATCTCGAATATCCTTGGAGTAATTGCCAAATTTCCCGTATTTCACCCGCAACCAGCGCCTCACTGCGGTAACTGCAAGAAGTAAAGTTGGCGAAGATGGTTGGAATCTAGCTGCGGGAGGATGGCCCACGTGCCCAACACAGCGCGACGGGAATTGGTGTGTGGGGGAGGTGGAGCGGGACGTTTCACAAGAGTGACATAAGACGTAATGACGGCGTAGAAGCAATAAAACACTTGCTATCATCAAATTTATCGATGTATGTATATATCAGATTTAAAAAATATATTTATATTCAAATAAAAATAATACAATTTTCAAATATCGTTGTGAAAATTTACATTTTTATTTAATATTTTCAAAACACACGGAGGGAAATGCTTCGGGTAAAGCCCTGACGTTTCCCGGGTCATTCATGGGGCGATTATATATTAAAAACAAAGAAAAATAGAATATATATTATAGCAAGAGAGGCACACCTCTCCCATTAAATAAATATTAAAACATTGCTACTCTTAGTACATGAATACCACCGTCCCATAACTCTATTCTGGCCTGGAAATCGGCCCTGTCAATTTAAACTCCTATTTTTGGCCAATTCTATCGTTTTCATAATTCCTCTCCTAAGATGTTATAAAATTGAAGCCGTCCCTGTACTTATCATAAATAAAATTATCGGTCAAATTTGATAAAATTGCAATATATTTCGTAAAATATCACAAAAATGAGTTGAAAAAAAAAAACTTTCGCCATAAATTTGTTTATTGTATATTATGAAAGGAATTTTGATATTTTAAATCAAAATTATTTGTTTTTAAGTATTTTTAATAATGAAAGAGACGCCCTTTCGTTCATGGATATCATCTTCTTATCAAATTTGCAAAGTATTAACTACATATGCATATTGGTGTATATATTTTACATCTTTCCATATCCAATGAAAGCTTTTCAGAGCCTGAAATCATGGTATACAGGTTGTTGGCTTTTGTTTGAATTTGCCGAAACTGGTGTTAGGGTTTATTCTTTATCATTACCTTTACATTTGGTATTGGGGTGATAAACAAAATTACGCTGTTTAATGTATTTTTGAAGGAAGAGGGGCCTATATTTTTCTGCATGAATACCGTTCTAATAACACAGGTCTACTTGTGTTTTTGCACAAGAGAACCTGATGGTGTTTCTAGTGTAACTTTTCATGCTGAACTCAATAATCTAATCAGAAATTTCCCATCACGTATGGTTTTTGCGTGACGGTCTTTTTTTAATATTGGGATAAATACATGCATCCAACATGAAAGAGACTTACGAAAACATGAAACTGCTTTTGAAAAAGATAGAATATGAAAGATACGGTTGGAAAATATGCAGCGATTTGAAAGTCGTTGCTCTCTTGCGTGGATTACAGCTTGGATATACAAAATTTTGTTGTTTTCTGTGTGAGTGGGATAGCAGAGATAGGGAAAGGCATTACATTAAAAAAATCTGGCAAAACCGTAAAATCTTTACTCCAGGATATAAAAATATTGCAAATCTACCCCTGATCGATTCAGAAAATATTTACTTACCACCATTACATATTAAACTGGGATTAATGAAGAACTTTGACAAGGCAATGGATCGAAATATGCCAGTGGATTTGCCTACCTAAAACAAAAATTTCTAGTATAAGTGAAGCGAAGATTAAAGAAGGCATTTTCGTTGGACCTCAGATTCGAGAATTGCAGCAGGATGGAAATTTTCAAAATAGTTTGAATGAAGTTGAAGCAGCAGCATGGAATTCCTTTAGAAACGTTTGCAAAAACTTCTTAGGAAGTGTCAAGGTTGAAAATTACCGAGACATAGTTAATGATCTGTTGCTTTCCTACAAGGCACTGGGATGTAACATGTCCCTCAAGATCCATTTCCTGCATTCACATCTAGATTTCTTTCCAGACAATCTTGGCGCAGTTAGCGATGAGCATGGTGAGAGGTTTCATCAAGCTATATCAAGCATGGAGAAGCGGTACCAAGGTAAATGGAGTCCCGCTATGCTTGCCGACGACTGCTGGGCACTCAAGAGGGATCTACCACAAGCAAAGTATAGAATAAAATCCACTGTCACTGCTTTTCAATAATAAATATGTTTCGTTCATATATGCCTATATATTAACAATATTTCCAAATTCAAGTAGGTGTATCTCAGAAATATTGTGTAATAGAAAAAAACTTATGGTATATTTGGATTCAGGACATGTAGATAAGATGCTATTTCTTTGTGGACAAAGAAAAATATTTTTTGATAAACCAGTTACGTGACATTGTTTGCAATTTTTAGTG